GAAGCTCGTCTACTTGGACAACGCCGCGACGTCGCAGAAGCCTAGCTCCGTCTTGAAGGCCGTGCAGAAGTACTACGAGGCTTACAATTCCAACGTGCACCGAGGGATTCATTTCTTGAGGTAGCTCGTTGTATTGCATTGTATTGTGCGTTGAGTAACTTTTTTTTTTTTTTCAAGCTTCTGTTTGTTAAATGATTCTGTTTCTTATCCAGTGCAAAGGCGACGGATGAGTACGAGTTGGCCAGGAAGAAGGTGGCCGAGTTCATCAATGCGGCAGAATCTAGAGATATCGTTTTCACGAGAAATGCTACTGAAGCTATCAATCTGGTGGCCTACTCCTGGGGCCTATCGAATTTGAAACCGGAAGATGAGGTAGGACTGTAATTAGGGAGTGTGCGATTGTTCCTGGGAGTGCAATAGTGATTATGTGGCAACTCCTTTGTGATCAAATATTCCTGCTAATTCAAGTGAAGATCAGATCAATGGCGAACTAAAATTTATCGAATGACTAGTGACAGGATGATGTGTCGACATGGGTCAATTTGTTGAGTCTCTGTATCTTCTTAAATACCGTTATGTTTGTTTCTTCGAGAAGAACCTATGGAATTGCTGAACATGATGGCGCTATTGTTAATGTCATGCAATCTTCTCGCAGATCATACTCACAATTGCTGAACATCATAGCGCTATTGTCCCTTGGCAAATTGTCTCAGAAAAGACCGGCGCCATTCTTAAATTTGTGGACTTGGATGGAGGCGAAGTACCAGACGTGAGCAAATTAAGAGGAATGCTTTCGAAGAAGACAAAACTGGTTGTAGTTCATCATGTATCAAATGTGCTTGGTAGGTGAAGTCCTTGCATGTTATATAGTGATTCTTTACTTTGCACGTGTTTCAGTTGCGTTTAATATAGATAAGGTGGTTATTTGATTGTGGCTACTATATAGTGTTGGTGAAGAAGCATTGAGATGGTTTATGTGATAATTAAGGATGATGATAGTATCTTTAGATGCCATTAAATATGATGAGTGTAACGTTGAGTAAACTTTTTTGGTGCTTACAATAGTTCCTATAACACCTGGATTGTTTCATCTGTCCAATGGAAATGGAAAAGGATCTCAAATGATTATGGTTTATCATAATTGTCTCTTGGCAGCTTCGATTCTGCCTATCGAAGATATTGTTCAATGGGCACATGATGTTCAGGCTAAAGTCCTTGTGGATGCTTGTCAAAGTGTGCCTCACATGGTGGTTGATGTCAAAGCCCTTGATGCTGATTTCCTTGTTGCCTCATCTCACAAGGTTAGGTTCCTCCCTCTGCGTTGAAATGTTTACTTCATTGATAAGTTTGTGAAGTTCTGGAATGAACATCCTTCAGATGTGTGGGCCTACAGGCATTGGATTCTTGTATGGAAAGAGTGAGTTGCTGACTTCCATGCCTCCATTTTTAGGTGAGATTTCTTTATACATAGAATGTAGGATTTATTTTTCCAGGGATTGCTCTTTTGTGTGTGTGCGCGCTGTGGGCATGTTTGTTTGAGATGTGCAAGTTGGTGATATTTCCTCCAAATTCTGTTGTGTAGGTGGTGGAGAGATGATTGCTGACGTCTTTCTGGACCATTCCACATACGCGGAACCTCCGTCCAGGTTGGCATACTCGACCCATCATAACCTAGATTCTGCTGATGACAGGTGGATTCTTGGGCTCTGGGAACCTGTTGGGTTTCTGAGCATTGCATTATAAATAATGTGATGTAAGAACTAGTCTACATACGTTCAGTTTAGAGAGATTTTGTTTCTCAGGAACTCTTAATTTTGTCAACCATCTTCCTTAACACTTTACCTTCTAGTGCCCCCTCTATTTTTCCCTTTTTCTGCCTTATAAATGATGTTGATTTTACTTGGAATAGGTTTGAGGCTGGAACGCCTGCAATTGGGGAAGCAATTGGACTAGGAGCAGCCATTGATTATTTGTCTGAGATTGGCATGCAAAAGATTCATGATTATGAGGTGATAGTCATATTGCTGTGGCTTAGGGAAACTGGTGTTCTCTGTTTCATGATGGACATTTGTTTTTGAGAAGGAAGCATGTTTATGAAGGAGACTTCATGAATGCATTTAGAATTTGCCTGTACTGCAAGAGTAAAGTGGCCGTAGCATATGAGGAAAGGGACAGTGCTTGTTGTGTCGTGCGGGCTTGTTTTTGTGTGTGTGCACATGTAAAGTAGCCATAGATATTTTGCACGTTAATGTAGGAAGAATCTCTTTTCACAACTTGTTAAAAGCAACTTATTGGTCTCCTAAATCTGGTTGAGTATAAGTCAAAAGCTTTTTCGTGAAAGCTTGTTGGTTTGCAATGTTGCGGAGATTAGGCACATGATGGACTCTGCGACTTGAGATGTTGTTTCCTGCTGTTCTAGACAAATTGGGACTAGAGTCAAGATATAGTTTTGGCCGATGTATTCGTCACTTGGGATGGTAAATGATTATTTTTCTCCCGTGTGTAGATGGAACTTGCAAATTACTTGTATGAAAGCCTTCAATCAGTTCCAAGTGTTCGTATATATGGTCCAAAACCTTCAAGGAATATTGGTCGTGCTGCTCTGTGCTCATTCAATGTTGAGGGCATACACCCCACTGATATTGCAACATTTCTCGACCAGCAGGTACAGAAACAGTTATGGTAGCCAGAGTTGTCGATTTCCAGTTCTACCATCTTGTAGTAATCTTTCTTTTTTCTGTGATTTCTCTTTTCACTGCTATGTTTCTTATTTTCAGCATGGGGTTGCCATCAGATCAGGTCACCACTGTGCTCAACCCCTCCATCGCTATCTAGGAATCAGTGCAAGTGCACGTGCCAGTCTCTACTTCTACAACACTAAAGAAGATGTAGACAATTTCATTCAGGCACTCAACGATACAGTCGTTTTCTTCAATTCTTTCAAGTAAAAGTTGCCTCCCTATATTATTTTTTTCAGGGACTTGTGCATAAATATGTGGAAGTTGGAGGTGGATGGGTTTTCTTTTCGCATCTTTCCTTTTCTTCCATGACTTTCTGGATAAAGAGGAGTCATGAGTGTTTAGATATTCCTTCTATCATGCCATTGTCAAAGTGCTTACTTCAGGAATTCTCTGGGGTAACACTTTGCTTCTAAGTTAATAAAAACCTACATTGTATCCATTGTAAAATAGTGTCGGCCGAGTTTTTAAGTTTTGGTCACTTGATTCATGTATAAATCCAAGTTAATGTTTCGGGAGTATGCATGTGGTGGTCGATTGTCTAACCCTCTGCATTGAAACTGTAAGTTAATTGGATTTAGCATCATGTCGACAGGGTCTAGACAGAATATCAGAAGAAAATCTGGTAAGTTTCAAGCCAAAAAATTGTATTTCCTTGCAATTTGCTTGACATTATGCCTCTCTCACTCTTAACAGAGCTGAAAACGGTAACATTTTTCATTCTTCTCTGTCGTGTGCAAAGCGGGATGCACTTTGGACTGTTAAAGAGGTCGGTTCTCGGGTACAAAACCCGGAAGCCCGCCCCGCCCTTTTTGTGCCTAAAAAATTATGGCGACAGGGTTTATTCTTGCGCTGGCCCGGCCCAACTCTTTGGGCCTAATTTGGGTTTGGCCGTAACTGGGGCCTGGGCTGGCCCAGTAACGCGCCTTAACTTCGGCCGATCAAGGCCTAGTGTCCAAATCATTGGGCCTAACAAGGGCCTGGACGGCTCCAGTAATGGCCATAGCCTGGGGATTGGCCCAGTTTCCCAACTCTTTGAGGGCTCAAAGGTGGGCCTCGATAGGCCCAATGCCGACCATGTTGGGCTACGCCCGACCTGGCCCAATTTGAGCCAAATTTAGCCTAGTGGCTGGATTGGCCCAATATATACCTCAAATGGGCCTTAAATTTGGCCAGGTCGGACATGCCCGGGGTGACCCAATAGCGACCATAAGTGGGCCTGGATAGCCTCCTTATCGGCCCCTAACTTGCCAAGCCCAATATGGCACAAGTTTTTGGGCTAATTCTGGCCCAGTGGGCCTTAATGGGCCCAAAATGATCTAAGTTGGGCCAAGCCTGATATGGCCCAACCCAGTGGGTTTATTATGCGCCTGATTGGCCCAATATGAACCTTAAACGGGCCTTAACTTGGTTAGGGCCTGGCTAAACTTTTGGGCCTGTTGGGCCTCTATCATGGCCCCAGTGTTGGGGCTTGAGTTGTGCCTGGCTAAGCCCATTATTATTCGGCTTTTTTGGGTCAAATATAATTTGGCTTAACTTGGGCCTATTTTGCATTTTGGGCCTGGCCCGTTCCACTGTTTGGACCACAGAACGTCTTGGGCTTAGGCTTTCCCAGCTTCTGTGGGCTGGAAACCCAAATAGGGTCGAGGTCGATCATTAAATTCGCCCTACCCGATGTTTTACCAAGAATTGAATGACACTCCCGGGTACTTAAGATAGGCATTTCCTGACCACATCATCTATTTGGGTCTGGAAATTTTAACGTTTGCATTGAATGGCTTGGCCCCTAATTTGTCCCTCTGGTGATTAACAAATTCGAAACAAACACATTAATATCTCGGGTAGAGCAAATTTTGTCGCTAGCGTCGAAAAGCTCTCATATCGAAGCATAAATCGAGAAAAGCAACTGTTGAAGCAACTATAAAGGCTTGGGCGGTATTTCGCGACACACGTCCTCAGGCTACAGAATCTTTTCATTTCCTTTAAAAGATGGGACGAGCATTGTGCTACTTTCAAGCAAGCAAGGTATATTCCCAAACATCACGTGATGTCGAAGGGCCAGGCCCACCGGTTTAATCCCAGAAAACAGTGAGATTCCGTAATGCCCTTATCAATCGGAATCTTTACTTTCAGATTCTCTGGGAGGAAAGCACGAGAGACTGTCTATTCACCCCTTTCCATCCAATTCTTAACCTTCGAACCGCATCTCTACAGCTGCAAAAGCATTTAAAAAGAAAAAAAGACATGCTAAGGCAATTATAGTTCCCGGAATAAACTCCGCCAGTGGGTGCTTTTTGTTAGTGGTGAATGTAGTGGAGGGCACAACAATCACTCACTCCCGAAATCAAAAGCCTAGATCATCTTTATCCGGATTTCCCTTAAAATGATTAACCAAATAGAAAAATCACAAGGTAAACTGAACAAAAACCTTCAGATTTGGGAGTTCGAACTTCAAATAGCAGCGAAAATATCAGCTATACTGGCTCATCAACCCTGCAAGAGTAGGACCAATAAGCATCGGCCATTCTCATTGGATTGCCACTTACCAAATGCCCCACAGTTTGAAACTGGATATAGGATAGACCAACAACAGTAAGTCAAGATCCGGACAATAAAGAGATGAGTTGAAGACAATGATTCAACAAGGCACCAGAGCAAGCCTCACTGATATTGATACTTTTGAGCATCTTCATAAAGTAACACAACCTTATTCGACCAAAAAAATAAAAAGTAAATAAAAATTTAAAATAAACTAACAACCTTTCGCTATATGCAACAAGTACGAGATAAGAGTAACGCCAGGTACAATAAGACGTGTCTGCACAATTCGTACACTAAGTAATGCGAAAGAATGCAAACGGCAATTAAATTACCGAATCACATTTCACACTTATCAAGAGTGTCATATCACTTGATATATCAAAGTAAATCAGCTTCCAAAAAGGCAGATCACAGAAATTGCCAACAATTGCACATGAGAAACTTTTCACAGATGCCTTACAAACAGATTATCTTCTTTTTTTTTTTTTTTTTTTTTTTTATGACCCAGGGAACCCCCGCACGGCCGACAGCCGGGAGGTAAACCCTGGGGGCGACACGTGCTAGCCACCACACACGTGCGCCGGTTAAGTCACCCTGCGGCACCCGGGATTCGAATACTCAACCTTTTGCGAGAGGAAGAGTGCGCGCTCCAGTAGCGCCACCCAGGCGGGTGGTCAAACAGATTATCTTTGATAGAGAGAAATTTCAACAAAACTGATCTTAATCTATTTTGATATTCTCTAATCAACGGAATTTTTCTCCAAAATTCAGTATTGGAAACTTCAATGAATTAATAACGGTCGAAACAAACAAGCACAAGGATAGAACAAAAAGATTGGTATTTTCATCCCCACTGACAACCCTCTCTATATTGACTGCAAGCACAGCAGTCATCACAAAATCTTCCCTCGTGTGGATTAAGGAAAAACTCAGATACCTCAGTTAAGTACCTCAATACTAATTGCTCTTCCTAGTTAATAAGTACCCATTTTCTCATTTCTCCTTCTTAGCCAAGGACTCTCCCTTATACTCACCGCCTGCAATAACGACAAAACCTGCTCCAACCTGGAATAAAATGCAATGAATCGATGAGTTGATTTCAGCCTACCACAGGACTACATGGCTATTAATGGACATGCAGGCTTTAGCATGCACATGCGGGCTTGCGTCCATGTGCATGCACGCGCGCGCATGTGAGAAAGAGACCAAGAGAGAGAGAACCTGGCAATCTTTCAAAACAACACGTTCTTGAAGCTGTACGTTACTGCAAACTACAGACCCTTGTATCGAGCAACCATCTCCAATCGTAACATGGTTCATAACAATTGAATTAACAATCTGCATAGAGGAGAATAGGGAGAAGCAGAGGAGATCGTCTCAAAAACAATAATTTCCAGGAACTTCTTATATTTTTGGCTGCTTTCAATACTTAGCTAAATAAAGAAGTTACAGAAAGATGGAAGACATTGTTTAGCTTTTTCTTTATTATTTCCTTAGCTTGATCTTCCAGTTCAAGTAGAATTACCATACCTTGACATTGGAACCTATCCGGCAGTGACGGCCTATGACAGATCGCTTTACGCTACATTTATCCCCCATTTGAGATCCTTCCCCAAGCATACAATGCGGTCCCACCTATCACAATAAAACCACTTCAGGACACTCATACATAAACTTGCAATATACATGAAACAATATGATTTTCAGCCAAAAATAGGCATCTTGTAATCACCCTTTACTGATTAAAGGAAATACTGATGTTAAATCTGCATTGGCTTCTAGATGCTAATAGGATGAATAAATTGAATTAAAGTAACAACTCACAGTAGTTTTAGATCCCAGCTCCGCTGAAGGATGGATAATATTGTTATGAGCAGAGAAAGAATAGCCTGAAAGATGATTTACCTCTCCAATGACCTGAGACATTTTAAAATATCAACTCAACAAGACGAAGCGGATAATATTTCAAGTTGAAATTGGATAGGTGGAAAAAAATGAATCAAACAATAGACGCTCACATCACGATTGATATCGCTAAATGCTTGGATGGAGTTCAAGCGGGCGCAATACTTGCTTTTGCTGGCAATGTATACACAACATTTATGCGTTCTTCGAGCGGGGGCAGAACCATATGAACCTAACTCATGGAGTTCATGGAAATTTGGCCTCGATGAATTAGACAGAATTTGTGACAGCAATACTTGGTTGTTCTGGGAAGCAACCTTATTTCCAATCTCTTCGGGTTGCGGTGCACCATTTAATAATATTTCGGATTTCTAAGGTTCAGATAGGAAATGAATCAACTCTGGCCATATGTAATTATCCAACCAACTGATAACAATTTACCTAGGGACTTCAGAAACTAACCAGCTGGCTCCGCACTAGATAAGGCAATAAATCCTCCTTTAAGCTTTGGAATGTATCCTTCTGATCTAGAATCTCTTGCAGTACAGTCCTGGGAGGAAAAAAAGACCGAAGGAAGAATGAGGGAAAGGCGTCCACTTATTTATACTTGCAAAATGAGGGGCAAAAAGTTATCAAACCTTTTGAAGGCATATAAATGGGCATCAATGAGATCAGCACGGATTTCCATCTGCATTAGAGAGAAGGATGACTAGTTGATGCTAATACCCGCAAGACATTAAGAATGTAATCAATATTCCTTTTAGTTCCCATGCATAAATGCACCATGCATTACAATGGAGGCTTAAGGCAGTGCAGAACCAGAGTAGACTGCTCTTCCCTCTTTTGTGACATAATGAAGGCATGCATGAGGGTATCAGTGTCATCTTTATCAAGCAACAGGTTTCTGGGCATTATGCAATTAACCAGATTAGCCATAGGAAAAGTTAGAAGAAACATTGACTACCTCGCCTACTGCACGAAGTGTACTCTTCTGAATACGAAGATCGTTCTCAAGTTCAGCACCTGCAATTAGCAAAAAACGCCGCCATATGAAGTTTCTAAGTATGCAAGCAAATGTCTCCGGAATATCCCTAATTTGTTGTTACATTATATATATATGTTGAACCTGTGGCAATGTATAATAGGAACTGCTTTGAGCGGTCCAACCCTATGAGGTTGTAGCGTCCTGCTTTCTTGGTTTTGTCCTTTCCCCCAGAGGATCCTGACTCTGCAGGACCACTTACAGGAGCAGAGCAAAGCATTGCAGTTACCACAGCATTGTGTCGTCTATGTGCAGCTGCCACAGCTCCAGGAGGCACATCAGAAACAAGATCACCACTCACGACCTGCCGAAACATATGTAATGGAATTAATCATTTATGTTGCGTAAAGAAAATTTTAAACAGGTATTACCAAGATGTCTTTTGCAGTCAGATGATGTGCAATGGCTCGAAGGGCTCCAGCTGTCCCAATGTCCTCAGGTACGGCAGCGACCTGTAGCATAATAGTATATCCCTAACTCTTCATAAAGAAGATTATTACCAAGAATTGGTTTACTTGACGCATAACTTAGATTAGGAAAGGGGAGCATAACAGGATTGTGTTATTGGCATGACACTAGTGGTCACAACTAATAGTATGTTGTCTGAGTGGCTGGATTCCAAAAAAACCACATTTATATAAATGGTCCCGCTAGAAGGCCTGAAGTAGAATAAATAATCAAAAGATTATGCTATCGCACAGTTATGTACCACAAGCTGCAAGATATCTTGGTAAAACAATCAGCATACGATTCAATAAATTTGATTATTTGCTAAATTAATTGAAGGGCAAAACCTGAAGTACATAAGACAGTTGCATTCTTCCAAGTCCCAAACAAAATACTTTCCGAACTGAACAGTATAAGCCAGACATATAAGTTATAAAGAAACTAGATGGGGATATTAATCTAAATGGTCAAACTCTTCAAATCTGGGGATTTCCAAACAGTACTGCCAGCTCAAGTCTGTATCATCATACAGAACATTACTGGCAGAAATCGATTCTCAGAACTTAATATTGTGGGTGCATCATAACTAGCTATGCTACTCTACTTTCAGTGGCCCCATCCTAGATGGAGAGCCATCAGCCAAATCTATGTCACTAGAACAGAGAAAATGAGGCGACAACCTCAAAAGGGGCAGCTAATCACTTGAAGAGTAAAATCAAGGAAAGTCAAAATCAGATGATCACTAGGCCATGCAGAAGTTTTCCCAGACTTTTAGAATAATTTGGTCTTGATTAGAGTTTCCACTCCCTTATACTAGAAATATGTTTCAGAAAAAGTTTTTGCAGTACTTAACAGTACTCAGCTTAATCAGAATGTAAATCATCAAGACGCAAACTAACCTAGGATTATAATGCCCTGCTTTCAGGAAGGATTAGGACCATACATTGCAGGCAGCAAATGAAGCTGTTTTCAAGGACTCGAAACAGATGATTGAAACTTCAAGGGAAAATCTTGCAACTTTGAAATGCTTACCATCTTTCAATCTCCTGAATCCATGTACTGTACAAACAGGAAGGGGCCTATTTTCGGTTACTATAATGTGAGCTCAGTGTAAAAGCATTTGCAAAAATGTTTCAGCAACCCCTTTACCCTCCAAAGCACAGCCTCAGCGCTTAAACATTTGTTACGAAAAATGTCCAACTATGTCAATTAAATTAAGCATTACATATCATAACACTATGTCTCTTCTCTTGAAAGCTATTTTAATGTTGTTTCTCTCCTCCTCATCTCAAATTGGCTAGGAATAAGTAAAGGTAAACTACCATGATTGGAACCACTCGATGCTATACTGCAGTGAACTACACTCACATACCTCAACATGCAGACGGTCCACATAAGCGCCCGATATCCAGCCTCCAACAAGGAGAGCCGCATCCTCTCCTTCAACGACCTAAAAACCACAACACGTACACACGCTAGCATCAGTACCAGAAACAATTAGAAGCACAAGATAAAAGACGCAATCAGCAATCCTGACCAATTTCACATCACAGGAACAGGAAGAACAAACTCATAAACCTATACTTGAGTTTAGATCATCTACTGCAATCCAATTACCCTTGGGAAGCCCCTCACAATGATCTCGCGAAGCAAAAATCAAAGCTAATTTCTCTTTCCGAGAGAAGAACACGAAGCACCAAAAAGTGCTCGCGAATGGCGGACCGCAACATGCCGGGAACCGCGATTAGGGCAAAAGAAAGAGAACGAGCGAGAGAGGACTCACGACGATGAGATCCTTGAGGTTACTTTGCTCCAGGAGCTCGAGGACGTAGGAGAGGACCGGGCGGTTGGCCACCGGGAGCAGCGCCTTGGGCACCTCCTGCAACGAATCCGACCGGGGGAAAAAAGAACAACGAAGAAAGATGAGAAAAGCCTTCGGGAATGGTGGAGCGAGGAGGAGGAGGAGGAGGAGGAGGAGGCATCATCAGCTCCTCGAGGGAAAATCTCCGCCGCAGAGAGGTGGGAGGGATTGACCTTAGAGACGAGAGGGACGAGCTTCTTCGAGAAGCCGCCGGCTAGCACCACCACCTGGAAATCCATCGGCGGCGGCGGCGAATCGGAGAGCTCCGTCGGTCCGCTGGTGCGAGCGAGCGAGAGAGAGTGTCTTCGAATTGAATTGAATGTTCCTTTCTCTTTCTTTTCAGTTTTCCTCCAGGACTGGAGTAGAGAGAGAGAGAGAGACGAATTTAACATCGCAATATTTATAGTAATATATTAAATATTGGGGAATATAAATCAGTTGGGGATGTAGCTCAAATGGTAGAGCGCTCGCTTTGCATGCGAGAGGTACAGGGTTCGATCCCCTGCATCTCCAAAAGTTTTCTTTGCTTTTTTCCGCTTTTGATACAAACACAATCCAAATATCATTATATCAGTTCCCGCAGATGCTGTTTCGGTCATTTTTCTCGTGGGCATTGATGATGGTGTGCTCTTTTGATGTCTTGAAGCATAATTTTATCGCATTGAAACAATGAATCTTCCTCTCTTTTTATTTGTGGTCTTGTTGTCGGTAGCATCGGATAACTGCTTGGAATCCATGAATTTTTTATTTTATTTTTTTGGTCGAAACTTAGAATCCATGAATTCACTTGATCGGATTTTGCATACTTCCATCTTGCGTATTCAGACTTAGCAAATGGGTATTATGAAACGTTTCGACTTAGCCGATATATACCTATGCGTCCAAAGTGGTCGCACACAGGCCCTCTTATAGCTTCTTACTCCATTGGTCCTATCTATAATCTATCCAGCGCATCACGCGCCAAATCACTTTCAAAATACTGCACCAAAACAGATCTGGCATAGATAGGATACAGTCGCCCAAAGCCTGAAATAGTCTCTTACAGGGGACAAATGCTCCACCGTGTGTAATCAGATTTGTTACAAAGAGCTCAAACGGCAGAACAACAGGATACAGGAAAGTTGGGTTAGAATCACCCAAAACAATGACAAACGATGGGAAAAGGAACACAATCCCACAAGGCGTACGATGATCGAAAGCGTGTCAACGTACAATACGATAGACAAAGAAAAGGGCGATGTAATTACACTCTACAAAAGGCAAAGATCTGAACAGATTATCGGGTACCTATAGGTGCTCTGTCATCTGGTCCAGCAAGCATGATCTGGCAAGGGCAATTCGAATAGTTACAGAAGAAATTGGGGAGAGAAGTAAGAAATGAATCGAGCGGCATGGACTGGACAGCAGAAGGCAGCATTATAGTCAAAGGCATTGTGCAGCTAGAAAAAGTTTGTAGGACTTACATTACAGTCATAAGCAAATCTTCTGGCAAGCATTATGGCAGCATTCCTTTCTCTCTCTGATTCAAATGCTAATACAAAGGAAACTCCTTGCTTAGCTTGCCAAAACAATGCCTGAGCTGCAGCATTGCCACCACCTCTAACCCCGCACAGCTAAAGAGACAGTGAAGGACATTACAAGTGGCACCCAAGATACATGGGTTTTTTAAAAAGAGAAAAGAAAAAACTAGCATGGCATGGGGGAACGTCAGATGTAACTGACCAAGCTTGTTTCCAAGGCATAAACTAACATACCTAAATACAGAAGTTAGGTCAAATTTTCTCGTCTAAGCCAACAGATATTTACTTTTACAGAAATACCACCAACAAAATGATATGATTATAATTAGAATTTGGAAAGTTGTCAATCATAACACTCATAAAAATCAATAAATACATCTGTTGAGTGCAACCACAGCGAATGTCATAAGGGTGTACCTTTCCAAAGCCACATAAGTGCATAATACAGTGAACATGCGGAAAGACAATAGTCCCTCACAGTAAGTGTCAGACCTTACAGCTGATAATTACTACTCCTTGGACCGCACAAGAATAATTACTGCAAACAAAGAATAACTAGCCACACCGTTTGATACCTGCATTGAACTCGAATAATATTCTTTGGCTACGGTTGTCTTTTCTTTAGAAAGTTTCATTCTCATTCTCCCGATGTGAAGAACGTGAATAGATTCTAATGGATGTTCCACACCATTAGTCTGAGCAACCACCACCTGCAAAGCCGCAGCCACAAGGACCAATAGAGAGGTGAATGAATGAGAGTATTACATGGGCAATGATAGGCCTTTTCTATACATGTAAACTCCCTAAATATATCTAGTTGAAGCTTCCAGACCAAAATCTATTCATTTTCATGCAGTTTGGGAACTTTGTTAAAAAAGCAAGGGTGAATTTGGAAAATGAGTTAGTACACCAATTTCTAAGTTTTCTTCACAGCTGTTGAGAGAACACTCACGGTGGGCTTAGAAGATTTTAAACGCCTTAAATTTCTACACCTAGTTTTTCCATAGCCATTCCAATCAGATGAGTTTTCAAATCCTCAACCCAAATCTTTCCTTAGCTATTCTTCGCCCCACTTTTCAATGCATCCAAATTCAGTGTTAGTTCCCACACTTCCAAGTGCTGTAATACCAATCCTATAATGACCTAAACCAATCTCAAAAGGCCAATCCCGTAAGAAAAAAGCACCCTCAAGTGGTGATATTTCGGAGGTAAACTTTATAATACATCACTTGACAAGCCCTCTACCATTAGATGTGGGACTGAGGATGTAACGAAAATAGTTGTCCGAGCTATGGACGTTTTCGCCTGTTTCCGATTTCATCAGTTTGTAAACTTTAAGGAGAAAATATTTGTAAACTTTGTTCAAAAGTGGATAGGATGAGCATGGCATACCTTAAACTGTGTGTCATGTTTCCGCACAAGTGCTTCAACATAACTTCCCAAACCAGCGGCTGCATGAAAAAATTAAACAATGCTGAATGAACAGAGGCAGCATTAAGCATTAAAGAAGATAAAACCAAAACAGTGACCTACATGGAAGGAAAGAAATAGAGAAACCTAATCAGACCTGGGTCAATTGGACCAGTGGTTGTCAAGGCAAAGCGTTGGTCATCAAAAACAATATCAACTTGCAGTAGTCGCCCCACATCAAAAGGCTCTGGAGCATAGATAGGTTTGGTAGCTCCTAAAATAGTACCAAATAGTGACACCAAATTCAAACAATGGTACCCAAGAGAAATGGTCTCTGAAAGGATAAGTAACTGAGTTCCAGCATACACAGTGATTACGATACATTCAACTTAATCAAGGAACCACAAAGGAAGCTTTTTTGCTTAAGACATCCATAGAACATTACCATTGACAAAAGATAGAGCACATGTTGCACAAAATGTAATTAAGTGGGAGAGCATCTAGATAGCACATGACATACAAGGTTAAAATAATTAGGATTGACCATGCATCTCAGAGAAAATGCAAGTCTCCCTCAACTTTTCTCCATGCCATTTTAATTTCTGTTCACATCTCGAACAGGAAGAAAAGAATAATATTAAGAAGCTTATTCAATTCTGTGACCCTCATGATAAGAGATGGGGTCAATCAACATTTTGAAGTTTCTGGGAAGTACCAAAGAGAAGCACTATTGCAAACCACATAGTACACATCTTACGTTTGACACCTAGAAAAGGATATTTGCAGAATTGATCATATCCCACTTCTAAAAGTAGTCCATGAGGGAGATGTTTCATAAAGTTCACATCAAAATAGTCATTAAAGTCATAAAGCTGAAGCGAAGAGCTTGGGATATATTTAACTACATGAACAAGTTGGCCACATGCTTTAGTCCTCCGCCTTATGAAGATGAGTTTTTAATAAACCAGAGACAAAGCAAAATGACCATAATACAAACTTCAGTAAAAGGCAAGCAAATTTAGATTTTTAAACAATAAAACCATGTTACGTAAGCTAAAAACCATTAAGCATGAGCAGTAGCACTATATATATACGTAATCCCAACACAACCATGTTGCATCATTTAAAGAAAAATATTGAAATTTTGAGTTCATGCTACAATTGAATCACATGATATATGCACGTCAACCTAAAGATATACAGACATACCTGATATAAGTTCCTTACTGCCACCTTCACATGACATCCGGTGCCACTGAATTGTACATTCAGATAGACCTGGAGCACTGTCAGAGCATGGCACAATCTGCAGATAGGAACCCAGCGCTTCAGCTCCTTCTAACTCATATAGAAGCAAGCTCATCTCTCCCTTTCTCATCATTGCAAGCTGGATGAAGAAAGAAAGCAAAAGGAGAAAGGGAAAAGGTAATTGATTACTTCGCTTCACAAAAACAATTTTACATTTCTACAGTGGCTCTACCCAGAGGAAAAATATTTTAGAAGAAAATTCCCACTGAATTTGGAAGTTGAGGAAAGAAGGAATTGCAATCTTTTCACATCGGATCTGCAAGAATAAAGGTAAACATTGGAGCAACCTCTTTTTGAAGCTCAAGTGAACGCTTGGACTTCTCTGCAAGTTGATTCCTCAAGGCGTGCAACTCATATTCCATGTCCATGACCTAAGTCATGAGATAAATTCAATCGCCAGAAACACAAGGAATGAACATAGACAAGGAAAGGCACACTAAGAATAACCAGATCTGTAAAATACACCCAGCCAAAGCAAAAGCAAGATCTCATCTCATATCCGAGAAACAATCTATGAACTAGTTGCGACTCCACGATCCTTGGAACTTTTCCCATTTTCATAAATTAAACAACAGGTATTCCCTTTCTACTTTTATAAAGAAAAGAAGCATACTCTCCTCCATGTACATAATATAATTGCATAGAGTGGCTCTGCTTTTAATATTTTAGCTGCGGTTGCCACACTCTGCAAACTATACCAGGGTTCTATCTTTGACCTCTTAAGCACATGTGACTGGTTAATTTTCCTTTCTGGTCCTAGCTTGGCTATGCGATCACTATTTAAGAAATCTTCTCTTCTTCTATCAATAGCAATTTGAACTATATCCTCAAGTGTTTAAGTTTTCACGAGCAAATTGTCCAATCAGTCCTAAGCCTATTGTATGGACTCTAATTCAATCCTAGACTTTCCAATTTTGTCAATTTAGTTCTAAATCTTTGCGCGAAATTCCAATATAGACATGGTGGCCAATTTTAATTGGAAATCGCTCACATGGCGGTGTGCCACGTAGGACGGCAAGTGATGAATAGACCACCACATTGACAATTTCCAAGGAAAATTGACCAAAAGGACTACATTAGAATTTCACGTAAAAATATAGGATT